CTTCGGGTGGTATGTGCTTTCCCTAGAAGTGAAAGTCATAGAGGCTCATAAGGACATTATTCTTTCAACATATCCTTCCCTAGCAGTGTATAGCAATATTGTCTGGTTCACCTCTGTAGAAGCCACAGGAAGGCATCAAGCTTTAACACAGCTATCTCAGCACCACAATGGCCAGCAAAACCTGAGTGTTCACACTCTACACTCCACAGAGTCCCCAGATATCTATGCTTTCTTCAGAGATGAAGCAGTGATAAAAACCCACCAGAGCTCACTACCTACAACAGTCAGTGGGTGGATGGGTTGGTTTTAAAGCAGCAAACCAGATTCTCTTAACAGTGCTAAACTCTTTATAGATACCAACTGACACATTTCCTGTCCAGCCAAAGGGATGAATGCAGGAACAGCTTCACACTGACGCCTGTGTCACGACTTAACACCACACTACCTCCTGGCTGAAGACCAGAGCATCCAAAACATATTTTTTTGTGTGAAGATGCTACACCTGCCACACTATCTGCCAGAGCTAAACAGCTGGCCCCTTATGATTGAAAAGGATTATACCCGTCGTCTTTGATGGAGAAAATCCAAGAAGATTCTTTCCCCTTGTTTAATGAAAGTGATTCTGCCCAGCAATTTCTCCTTTCCTCAATTGCAAACTACCTACTTTCCCCACCTCATTCACAGGCCAGCACCACGGTTACAATGCTTTAAAAGGTCATATTTATTTAAGGACTGCACCAAAAACTCTATAAAGAAGCTCCCAACTCACCCAGACTTCTTTGAACTACAATGATTTCTGCAGCATGCCAATGCTTATTCAATGACCCAGCCACACACTGCCTCTGTCCCCAAAAGCCCAGAGTTTCTGGTTAATGCTTCCAAAGTGCCGTTAAGCTTTTGGGAGTGAAGTAACATTTTCCCTTTGAAGCATGAGGGCTCATGCTCCTCCTCTCCCACTTCAGAAGGAAACGGCTTCCCCTCCCAGCACAACAGCACCATTCAGCAGTGCCTGAAAAGTAGCTGTGCTGTTTTACCAAAGGAGTCTGAGTAGATAGCTACTTTAGGACTCTTAACTCAGCTTCTAAACACTATCATAGCAGCAAGTTAAAGAATCCCAGCTGGCTGGACAAAAGGCAAAGGCGGGCTGAGAGGCAGCTGGAGACACACAAATAACCTCGCAGTGGAAAAAGAAAAAGGTGGAGATTACACGCCTCCCAGTTGCCATGTACCCACCAGGCCTGTGAGGGAGCACTTTTCTTCTCACTGTTTTTATTTCCTGTTTCCAAGTGAAGTCTGTGTTGTTTAGTACTCCCAGGTCAGGTCTTCTTGCAATGGAAATGAAGCCAAAAGTTGTGTTCAGACAAAAAGCTGGTGTCAAAAATGTAACAGTCTAGCATAATATGCTAGAAATGGAAAAGGAGAAAAAAGCCCTGTAGTGTTTGGAAGATTTCAGGGGAGAGAAAATGGAATCCAAATGTAACTACAAAAAAAAAGAAGGGGGGGAAATGGCAATGAAATTAAATGAAAGGTATATGCTGTCTGTCTTTGTTACACACGTCTATCCCTCTGCAACAGACTCTTTTTCCTAGTCAGGCGCTGCAGGCCACACTAAGCCTGGCTGTGGAACGACATAAATAAAATAGATAAACAGAAACAGAAGGGGGAAGGAAGAGCTGAGCCCCTGTGCCCCAGTACCTGGTGCTGGGATACTCGCTCTTCCTGGGATGGTTGTTTTTTCTTGCTCCCTGCGGCATGGCTCGGCCATGGAGGGAGAAGGGCGGCACACAGGGAGGTGAGCTTTCAGCATCACTGTGGCTGTCGGTTTAGTGACACTGAATGTTTCCTTTCATTATATTTTTAGTTCTGAAATTAAACCACGATTTAAACTATTTACAGTTTTCACATGTAATAAGATTATGAACATTGCTCCCAAATTGTCCAACCTACAATCCTCAGCCAGCAGGACTAGAAAAAACAATATAAAAAGAAAGCCACCTCAATCACACAGGCAGCAGGAGTAAGCGTAATTTTTCCAGTCATATCCTCATCTCTTCTTGTGGTATTAAACAGCTTTACATAAAGCTGCTTGTGCTGGCTTCTCTCTAAGAAGGTGTGCCAACAGACAGAGGCATACAGGGCTGCAGGAGAATGCTCCCATCCCCTTGGCAATCCCACCATGTAACCTTCTCCTCAGTCAGCCAAGTTTTGACCAACACACGTTACAAATTTGCTGGGCTTTCCATCAGGAAGAGCTATCAGACCTGCACTCACCCACTGGAACAAAAACTGTATTTCCAACATGAATGTGTTTCTACTCTTGCACTACGTTCATGCATTAGTTCCTGCAGTTTTCTCACTGATGTGCCCACCACTCTCATGCAGTCACAGCATGTACGTGCTCTGACTTCATTTGCCAAACCAAGCCTCCTATTGGGATACAAGCTGAACACATCTACCTGCTCACCTGGGCAGCCCTCCTTTTTTTCACCCTTCCTCTAATATTAATATGCCTTTCTTATGCACAGTTGTAGAAATGCGCGCCAAATACTCCAGCTGCTGTCTCACCAGGGCCTCTTATAATGGTAACATCTCAGCAAACCGGGCCTGGGATTTCATTTCCATTTATTTCCATGGCTAAATCATGCTGGCACCTTACACCCAACCTCAGACAGATCAATCACAGAGGATAATTGTGGTGGCTGCAATCACTAGACCTGGGTCCTGAAAACATCTTGCTTTCCTGCAGGCTCTTCCCACTACACACAAACACCAGACAACTACTGCCAGGTTCACTCTCCACCGCTTGCTGCCATAGCCAAAGGTCGCACCTGTCTGTGCCTCACTCCAGCAGCCAGCCCTTCCCATCACTGCCAGGAAAAGGTGATGTGCCTGATAAGAGTCCTGCTGGGAAGTCCAAACCTTTCTTCTCCTCTACCGCTGAGCTCCCACATTTTAGCAGAATCCTTGTTCTAGTCTCCAAGTACACAGCCTGCTGCTCTGTGCTGCTGAACTTCATCCCATTTTCATGACTCCAGCACAGAGTCATCCAATTCTTCCTCTGGAACAGCCTCATTCACCACCCCTGGTGATGGTGCTTCCCAACTCAATGTCATCGGCAAATTTAATTAGGGCATGCCCCTTTTTTATGCCAAGGTCATTAACTTAAATATAAAACAAGAGTCAATCTCTAGTCCCGAGGAAATCCAGAAATGCTTTGCCAGTTGACTGGTACTTTTTCTTTCAGTAGCACTTGTTTACATTCCCCTTGCTGCCTAATTCCTCCCACTCTTACAATTCTTCTACACCACACACTCACTAGATTAACTAATTGCTTCACACGTAGCATCCAGATAGAGTAATTTCTTTAAGATATTAAATAGAACTCTAAAGAAAGTGCTGGCAAAGGCAACACCTTTGCTTAAGAAACCGTGTATCACTTTATTCCACTTTCCAGTTAGTTCCAAGTCTTTAACTTTTCACCCATTCTAAATTTGCTTTAAAACTTTGTACAATACTTACATAAAATTAACAACTCCAGTTGCCTGGAGCACTTTTCTTCTCCCCTTTTGAATACAGGCACAGTCAATACAACTCACCATTCACATGAAACAACAGCAGATTCAATACACTTCAAAGGAAATCTCTGCTCTCGACCCTGCAATTTCACCTACAGTTGTTTCGGTATTCTCAGATGGAGATTATGCAGCCCTCCAATCCCAGTGCATGGAGGTCTATGATTACACCTAAATGTGACTACATCTCACATCTGATGACACACAACAGAACAATCAAGAAAAAAGAAAAAAAAGATGACTTTCTGAAGTCATATCTTCATCGATTTTAACATTCACTTCACTGCCATGGCAGCACAGACCTTGGCTATTTCATACCCTTTGCACTATTTACTGTTCTCACCAAATGCACCGACAATCTAAAATAATCTCAAAAAAAGTGTGCTAGTGCTTAGATATGGTATTATGCAATTTCTAAAAGACAAATAGGTAGTGTTCATGCTGCCTCTTTAAGCTGAACTACTGAACAGAGGCTAAAATTCTTGGCAATGACCCATCAGAAGGTACTCTGAGAACAAGCCTAGTAATTTCCACTGGAACTAAGAGGGAAGAAGCACTTGAAAGCAGTATTTTAGAAAAAGGAACATGTAAATACAAGGATTTAGTGGATAAACACCATCCAGTGGGTTGCAGTTCAAAAACTACTTTATGTCGCTCTATAAAAGGTCATTTTATAGGCAGAATCAGGTTAAAACTCCTTATCCCAAGATGGTTACTGTCAGAATGAAAAGATTATGTGGTTTGGGAAGGAGAAATGGTGAAAGAAGGCATTTGCCTCCAGGCAAAACACTTCTAAAACATACATACTATTCCTATATTCATCTTGAAAAATATCACAAATAAATATGCATATCACACTGTGATGTTATAGCCAGGACAGCATACAACCTTTCACATTGCGACCAACATCTTAGGAAATGGATATGGCATCCAAGTTCATTACAGGTGCTAAGTAATCCTAGCCAAGCACCCAAACCCCCCAAACCCAAGAACTACAGAGGAGAACCATTTATTGTGAGAAAAGAGATTCCTGGTTTCTTGGTTTGAAGCTTCAGTTTTTACCTATTATTTTTAACTGAACATGAAGTGTTACTGAACCTCTTTGATTTGACATAACTAGGCTACAGAGGTAGCTTTAAGTTCAGAAACTGAAGAACATACCCACTTGCAAACTAGGAAAGGGTAAGCCTGAAAGGGAAGTTAACCCTATTTTTGTGCCTGTGTGTAAAATATGGAAAGTTGCATTAACTTATTTCACTTCCCACACCTGGCTACGTCCTCTTTTACTCAAAATTTTCTTCAAAGTAGAATCATGGATCCCTTACAAAATCGTCATATAACACATGAGAATTTGTAACCTGGGGTCATTTTCGTCTACATACCCCAAAGAAACTAAAATAACCACCAAGTACGTAGGCAAAGGGGAAACCAAGAGTACATGGATTGGTATTTTTTGAAGAGTAGACATATTTTCCTTCTGCCACCTAGTGACCAATTTATTCAGGTAAGAGCAGTGTTTAAAATGTACCACATTAAATGGAACACCTCCATGACTCTTCCTCCACCTTACAGCAGAAGTGCTGCTAATCACATTATTCCCAGAGACAAGGATTGTACAAGTCATGTTGTTGTAGGCTCCTTATAGTAAAGCCCTATCATGCTCATCACCAGAAAGCTTCAAGAGCAGAGTTCACCCTCATTAGAGTTAAGACTTTGAAGGCTGCCTTATACAATCACATCTGGTGAACCTGTCACACACCATGACTCCAATTCCTGTATAGCTGGCAGAACTGTAAATAATTTCACAGATCTTCACAAGCTTTTTACACTTGCAGGATGCACACTTCTTGTTTTAAATTTTACTGGTCCAGGGTAGAGAGATTTCTAAAATGCTTTATCTGTGCAGTCACTCAGTGGCACTGCTAAAAATGTGCCTGGCCCTACCTGCTGATGGTAATAAGGGCTGGGATTGCTTGACATTTTTCCCATGTATCAGAAAAACAATTCATGATGGAAAAAGTGTATCTTAGAGCCCTTTTTGCACTGTGAAAAATCAACCTGTAACAGAAAAGTCATGAAGGGACTCACCAAATTCATTTGGAAGAAAACTGGCCTAAATATTTTCTTATTAATCTATCAAGATCTGTACAATACTGTGTGCCCCCATAGGAAGGGGCCTCTCATATCTCTGCCTGTCAGGAAGGTAAAGCCGCTTCAGTACCCTCTCGACTTGTATCATTTGTACCACAGATTCCTCAGGTTCCTGGCAAGGACTCCACAGTTAAATTTAAAAATTCAAGTGTTTCAGAAACAGCAATTTGCACACTGATATTTTTTGAGCCACAGAACAGTCCTGCCTTTGACATCACTACTTAATAGTGAATCTCTGTTTTTCCCTTCTCTTTCACTTCAGTGCTGCTTCCTTTTCATGGGTCTTCAAAGAAAAGAATCTCCAACTTGTTCTAGCTTATTTCTTTGGTTTTATTTTTGAAACAAAACCTTTCCAAGAAGCATCTTCCTAAACACTGTAATAAATACAAAACCATTGCATAAACTAAAGAAAATTAAAGCTGCTAAGAGTTTGCTTTTACTACGTCTCCCTCACATCATTTTCAACTATATAACTTCAAATAATCTGGCACAGATTTAATTAGCATCAGTGCATTTACAGAATTGTCCTGGACTTCTAGGAACACCTGCATTTTACTATGGTATGGCAGAGGCAATGGTACTGTGGAACTTTATTCATAATGTTTAAAGTCTACAAATGGCTCTGGTCTCACTTTTGCACTTTTTACATGGAAATCTTTAAAGAAGACCTGAATTGTATTTAAAAAAAACAGAAAACCCCAAAACAAACAAACAAAAACAAACACACACACCCCCAAACAAACAAAACCACAAAAAAACCCCACCAAAACACATCAAAACACAGGATGGGGGAGAAGGAGGTGAAGGGACTTTATGCCTGATTGACACTGACATATTAGAGTCAAGCCCATGGGCTGAGATGATAAGAAACCCCCAGGAACAGGCCACCATGCTTCCTTCCTATCCCTATCAAAAAAATCTCAAATCAAGACTGAGCAACATGACAGAACCTTCCTTAATTTGGTGTCATTTGTTAGTAAATATCCCCATGATACATGCTTTGTCCATGAGGCAAGAGGAAAGCACCAAGTTTTCTTGCACAGGATTATTGTGGCTTTCTGTTATTACCTGTATTAAAAAACTAAAACTAAAAATGCTTCCCTTTGCCACCTGCAGCATCGTAACTCCTCCCCCACACACTCCTCCCCGCTTCTTACCTTGTCATCTCTTCCTCTAGCTCTAGATTCCCTTTCGCGGCTGCCTGCAGGCTTCTCGCCCTTGGATACCATATGTGCTCTGCCCACAGGCCCACGAGGCTGCAGTCCTGGCGATTCTTTCCTCAGAGCTTTGCTGGGACGTCTGATCTGAGGTGGAGCCCTAACAATAAGCAACCACAATGAAAACATGCTAAAAACAGTGAAAAAAGAGCAACATTTAGAAGGAAGGATTCTAACACATCATTCATTCCCTTAGCGCATTATTACTAAAGCTGACAAGCCTCTAAGTCTTACCTCCCTACATGTGCAAATACAGCAATGTAGTTATGGTTCTGTCTGACACCCAAAGTAAGAAAAAAACACAAAAGGAAAACAAAAGTTCCAACAGTTCACAATGATCAGTACTCCTAACCAATCTTACAACAAACCAATACACATGTAACAAGAAACAATCTAGTAAGTCTTCAAATCGTAGTTTCCTCTGACTCCAAACCAGGAGATCATATTGGGCTATATTCATATGCACAAACTCAACAGGATCATGTGACATCTGTGGTTTAAGAAAAAATAATAAAAGCTGGCTAACAGCTTTGACAGGCCCCAAAACAAAGGAGGGAGAATTTTCAAACAATTCTCCTACCTCTGACTTTGTTCCCCTGAGTGAAAATGTCAAAATGTACAAATTGACTACAATGCAAAAGCAAACAAAGCCCAGCCGCAACCACCTGTACTGGCGTGCATCACCCACAATGTCAAAGAGAACTCAGCAGTGGCATGAGAAAGAATTTGGTTTTTAGAGAGGTATCACAGTAATTTTGCTCTAGGGATTGGACTTGACATACAGAACTAAAACAAACAGCCAGGAACATCACCCAACTTGAATTAGTGTCCCCTATTCAATCTTCTACTGATCCTTGTTTTGAGTAACTCAAAAATTGCCAACTCCAAAACCATACCCTGGAATATGGCTTAGAAAGAGTATATACTTAAATGCACTGTGGATACAACAGCTACATTTTACTTTGTATACATTTTCATTGAACTTAACAGCACAGAAGAGTGGCTGATTTTCCTTACTTCTGTACACAAGATTTAAATTTCAGCTTAAAAAAGATGAACAATTGGCCTTTACCTCCAAGGAAGATAGAAGAATAAATCTTGCACATCACATAACATTACCACAAAAATTCTAATAATCATTTCTACCACTCACAAAAGTAAGTAGTATTAATACTACTTTACACTTACATTCTTAGGGTATATTCAAAAGCAAAGATATTTGATAATAATAAAGCACATAAATTTACAAATAAACTTGGCCAGAATAATAGCAGAACATTTCTTTCTGTTTACTGAGACCTCTCATTTTACTTTGTTCCTTTGCTTATGTGAGTATACACACATTAAAATTCCTTACTATTATAATGTTAGAAAAATGTTGGCATGGTAAATGTTAACCATGTTTTTAAATTGGATTTGTTGTTTCCAGCAACCTGTGCCAAGCTTTATTAGGGTGAAAACAGAGATTTCAGAAAATACACAAGCATTCTTTTTGAGCAAACTATTAGCTAACTAATGTTACTTTAAAGGTGGTTACAGAAGAGAAATGCCATGTATAACACAACACGCTTAGCAATAAAACTAACCAATGGATTAAACACAGGTCATATTATCTGTAGTTAGTGAGTGACTTCTAGCCACCATGTCCTTAAAGATACTTTAGGTTCTAACTCCTTAGTGGCTCCTCAGCCATCAGTGAATTCAACTGCTTAAATAAAGTGAAATGGAGAAGTTTCTCCCTGCATGTGAGAAAGGCAAGTGTCACCAAAAGCCCACTTACCTCTCCAGCATGCTAGTTGCAGGCACTTAGCTAGTCACTCTTGCCAGAATAAGGGAGTGACTTGCTTTAGAACTTCAGCAGTAAATCCAACTGTATTTTAATTACTTTTTTCCTTCCCAATTTATTATATTTATTCTTTATTACAAATGACAAAGGGGTAAATGAAGCGTGATTTTCACGTTACAAATGCATTCAAAAAAGAACACAAAATTATGCCAACCCAGCTTTATTCACCCACTCTGCTTGAACCTCATTACCTGTGTTCAGCTGGAACAGGAGGGGGCCAAACATCGGGATCTCTAAAAGGCTCGTCTTGACAGGAAACAGGGATATCTGCACGTCTGTCCATTTTAAAACTTTCTAAAGTGTTGACAATGCTTTTAACTTGTTCATATTCTTCAACTAATTCTTGTCGCACCTTGAGAAACACATACATTATTTAAAAATTGTTACAGTTCAACCTTTTTCTTTCTTAAACCATAGAAAGTGACTCAAAACATACTCTCCCCTCAAATGTAGGGACTCCCAAGACCTTCCGTTCTCAACCCTCAGACCTATCAGACTGACAACAGATCTTTAACAGCAGCACAAACAATTGCATCTCTGTTGAGTTCCTCTTCCTGCTTGTCAATGTCATGACCAGACATGATTGCTAATGCAGGGATCACTCTCCTGTAACTTCTGCTAATGCTTAGATTTCTGTGTGCATGTTGACATGGATGCACACATACACATATTTTTATGCTAGTAAAGGTGCTGTTGGCAGATCATTAAAATATTTGCTACTATTCTGGCCTGAAAGAACTTCCCTGATTACAGTCTCCAAGGCTCTAGTTATAAACCTGGCTAAATCATTAAAATATAATATTACAAAATTAACTTTGTAAATGACTTCAACAACCGAGTCAAAGCACAAGCGAATTCTTTGGTGGATTGGAAAGATCAGAACAGAAAATGGAAACTTTAACACCCTACAGCATAAGCTCAAATAGGTAAAGTAAGTAAAATAAAAATGAGAGGAAATTATGTCTCAGAAAGAAATCAGATTGCAGAATCGTGCAGCTGAATTTTATACTTGAAGTCTCTACTGCCACTAGCCAGGGAATTAGAACTACTGCAATAATTTCAAGATTATTTACTTGATATCTTTTCTTTTCAATTTTCTTCCATGAAGCCTAAGCAAAATAAATTCTCTGTAGAAATTTGTGAAGTTTTAAGTGATATGGCTCATTACAAGCTCAAGGTGTGTATGCTAAGGTCACCAGTTCTTAGTACACACCAGCAGCCAAAAACTGCATTGCACATTCTTGCTCAGAAGCATAAGCTTTCAGTTCATTAGCTTAAGATGTGCTCAGATTCACCTGAGTGCACTTGTACTGCGTCTTACCAGTCTTCCTCCTGTCACTCAATGATGCTTTCCATCCTGTAGGATCAACCTCCATGCTTACTTTGGTTGTTACCTGCTTGAGGGTCATAACACCCAGATGTCACTCTTCACTGAAGTGTTGGTGCACTGCTAAAACTAATTCATGCATCACTGCGCACGCCTGGAAATCACTGTTGGCACTCGGCAGCTAGGATTACCTTAGGCCAGTGTGAATCTTGTCTGTTATGGGCTCGCAGCTGGAGCTACAGAGACAACCTGAACCTTTCCATCCAGTGGGAAGGCACACAGGTTCTACAAGCCTCTTGTGAAGAAACACTAGGGTGAGGATACCTGCAGGCTGTCACCAGGCACACTACCAATTGAGGCTACAACCGCAACGCTGAATCAAAAGCCAGGTTCTGAAGTCAGCTTACAAGAAAGCCACGGAAAGACACGAGTCAGCTAGCTGTGCTCATGTCATGCATACACCTGAAAAAGAGCTAGGAAAAACACTGCCTGGGAATGCTGCAACCAGACTTCACTTTGTGGCAAATAGAGGAAGGCAACTGAGGGCAGCATCAGCATGTCAACAATGTTGCCTGATGACCTGCCTCTCTTTGCTGTGCAGATCCTGACTAATGGAGAGGATCAGTGGAATGGAGGTCTGCAAATCCCACCTGTCTGCTCGGGTAGTAGCAGCAGCAAATCAGAGAACTAGTACTGAACAGCATCACATCTTCTGACTGTTCCTCCTAATGCTGCTCACTGGTGAAAAGATGTGGCCACTAGCCCGAGATTTTTCTGCCTCCCTGTGTGCTTGGGAATGAATCACGCTGGGCACATGCAGGGTGCAGTGCCTTTGCAGTGAAAAGAAGCACGCTTCTTTCCAGCCTGATCTTTACCTGCCCATCCCATTTCTCTCTTTCACTCTCATTTCTCCTCTCTGAATGGTGTCTTTCCTCACCCGCCCCACTCTACATATTCAAACAGCAGCAGCAGCATCACCCCACTTCTGGTGGGGCAATTTCAAGACAGAAATCACTGACACAACTCATGGGTAAGGTGTATAAAAGAACGAATGATTAAATTGACAGCGCTCAGTAACAAACACACCTCACCTCTCTCTCGAAACTACAGTTCTTCTAAAATACTACCAAGTGCACCCCACAGCAATGCATTGTTCTGCTCTGTAATATTTTCCAGGAATTTTCCCATTTCAAGGACAAATTAAGAGGTTTCAGCAGCACAAAGAAACCCTTCTCTAGTGTAAAACCCTGTTTAACAAGAATATATGTGACCGTCATCAGCAAAATACCAGCAAGGACAAAGGCAAAGTAAAGGGTAAATCCCCAAGGCCCCGCACAGTTCTTGCAACGTTGCATTTACTTCACCAGAAGCTCCACATGTATTTGTACAAAAGTAGCCTTAGGAACAGCAAGAAGTTGACGATTCACAGTGCAAAACAGCCTTCTTGCTCATTCCAGATGGAGTAGCTCTATCTTTCCAAAGACACAGGACATCCAGCTTAGGCAGGACTGCTCCTGCCCTGCTTGGCTCTCTTTGCTTTCTCATCACACCATCAGCAGACACATCTCCCAGTACAAAAGCTTCCAGCTGAGTTACAAGTGTGATTGATTACTGACTTGGTTCCTTCGAACTGTCTAAACACATCCCTCCTGTCCAAAAATAAATCCAGCCAAACAGCTGCTGTGAGGTACAAAGGAATGATACAGCATAAATTCCCCAGGGCACTGCTCCACAAGAGACAGCCACTTCCAGAGCTCCAGGAATACAGACAGCATTCCTCCTATCAGCCTTCCAACACATGCGGAAAAGTTGGTGGAAAACAACTTGCTAGCACTGAGGGCTGGAGTGCTGTCACTCAGCTCTCTGGACCAGCAAAGAGGATGGTATCTGAAAACTGAGAGAAAGTGAGCCTTTGATGCCTTGGAAGCCGAAAACTAACAAGTGCTGACCATCTTCGGGCCAGACGCAAGCAGACCAAACTCTGACATACACACCCTTAGCGCTTAGTCAGTACCTGGCAAACCAACCAACAGAAAACCCTCAGTGTACTCTAACAGCAGGACCACAAAGGAAAACCAGCTGGTAAATTCCTAGAGGCCCTAAAGAAACCCAGTCAGATGAATCAGGTGCAGAAAAATATTTTCCTTGCAGCTGAGAAACAACCCAGATGTGAGCCAAGAAGGGCTGTCCTGTGATTATGGAGGTGACTAAGCAGCATCTTTTAGTGATCAGTGCTACTCTGAGGCAACCTCAGAAGGCTACAAACAGGAAAATCACTGGTCTGGACTCACCAAGTTGCTTTGCCCCCCATCATACCCTTCCCTTGGGTGCCAGAACACTCAGGGGGCTTCAGCTCAGATTATAGAGACCCTGAAGAAAACTTTAGGTTATTCATGTTGAAGCCGTTTCAGGAGATAACTGAGCTGAGTTAACAGCTCACCACTGCCAACTAGGAAGGTCCCACTCCTCCTCTCTTTTTCTACCCAACCACATCCTGCCACTGCCTTTCTGGATGCAATTCTGGCATCACAGTAGAGTGACTCAGCTTGGTAAAATGGCAGAAAATTAGCCTAAGAGAGTAAAAAGAAAATACAGAACTGGGTTAGAAAGCTGTACTGCCTCGCTACCCTGTGATCAGGTGAATCCCAGAAAAAGAATGGCAGGGAGCAGAGGAGGGAGAGAAGCTGGTGCAGCTGGAGGGAAGACTAGCTGGGGAAGAGTTTGGCCTCTCTGGGTGTTAACTGGATTCAGCTACTGTGTGAAACTGCCTGCTCCCAAAGCCACACTCTGATATACAAACCAATCCTACCAACCACAGCACCTGCTCCACAGCAGCAGCATCGTGGCCATTGGGTGGTGTTGGAAAGCCTGATAAAAAGCCTTTCAACCCAGGGGGTGGCCCCACAACTTTGTTTTGACATTCCAGTCCTAAGGATTTACAATAACCAAGCAGAAAACACATTAACATACGGATATAAAACACAGTGACCAAGAGCTGAGTTCACTCTTTCTTAGTGGTAGTTCCAAAACCCATTTCAGGGAGTTCCTCTGTATTTCACAATCTGGCAACTGTTGTAGCTTTGACATCACAAGCTTTTATTTGCTATGCCAGAGCTTGTACTTCTACACAACTTCCCACAGCAATAAGCATGGGTATTTGTACCTTGGTAAATACAATGTGTGCTGAGGGTTTTTTTAATTATATCATGCTGGAACAAAAACAATCAAGTTTCTATAAAAGTGTTTACCAAACCTGAAATTACTGCCTGCAATTAGTGCTAGTTATTCAACAAGCTCCTTTTTTTAAAAGTGAAAATAACAATTCCCTAACCCATTCCCACAACAGATGCTCTGTAACCCAGACTGATCCCATGGAATCAAAGTACAGCTCCTGGAATCACAGTTGTTCATGAGTTACCTGCAGTACATTCTTCAATTACTCAGGAAGTAACCTATAGAATGTTAATAAAACAGGCACGATGCAAAAGCAACAGAAGCAGAGATTGATTAAAATGTGTTTAAAATGTGAAAAAAAAAAAAAAAAACAGAAGTGAAAGTTATGCTTTATTCTTTAAGCGAGAGCACAGTGCACCAAATCACCTGCTCCAGTGACCATGGTCAGAAGGGTGCCTTGCTGGCAGCTCCCAGTGCCCTGAGAACCATTGAACTCCTGCCTCAGGTCCTGTGCTCTCACACTTATAACATGCAGCAGGCTTTGCTCGAGAGCCACTGGCCTCGTTGTAAGCCAGTACTATCTCCTGGGGGCACGCTCTGCTGTCATTCTGCAGCTGCTGAACTGTCACTGAAGCAGCTCTTTCCTACAAGCCAGCTGTCTAGTAAAAACCTGCACCAGCCAAGAAACTCTCTCAGAATAAACAGGAGGAATGTCAACACAAGTAAAGTTCACAGTAGCAGTAAACCTACCTTTTACTGTTGTTAAGTAGAAAAAGAGATGAATTGCTTCTGCTTTTGAATCTTTCCAGTCCCAGCCTGCATTTACACAGATGAATATGCCGACATGTCAGCCAAACCTCAACAAAGAAGTAACTTTTTCAAATGAGCTCATAGGCCTAGGAGTGAGGCTAAGAATGGAGCTAAATCAACCACCCAGGAGCAAGCTGGGAACCCCCTGGATGCAAAACAAGTAAGGGTCTCAAGAGCAGGTCAGCCTTGACATCCCCAAGCCAAGCAAGTGATGGACAATCAATGACAATGAATTTTCCAGAGTCAGAGGAATTATTACATTGTCACACTGCTGCTTTGGTTGAACCCTCCAGGATGCATCTTTTGCCCTTTTGAAGCTCTGCAGGTTGTACCAGACTAATAACATGATCCCTGCCCCCCGTCAGCACTGATTCTGAAGTTCCAGAAGCAGTATTGCATCAAGTGGAACTGAGCCAGTCAGTTGTTCCCAGGGGAGCAGATGAT